ATCAGTGCATTAGCTAGAAGTAGACTATGTATGGTACAATACCAAGAGGACACGCCTGAGAATGAGGTAACAGTATGACCAGTGTAGCGGGCAACCAACTGCTTTCTGACTGATTTTCAGAACTGCTCTACACGGGGAGACCGGTGCCAGGTACTATAAACGTGGTCAAAAGCACATGGCTACGGAGGACAAATCCCTAGGCGGGGAACACACAATTGTTGACTTACCAAAAGGGCATGCTGCAGAACTATCTTCTACATACTTACATTTATACCCATACGCCCCTGCTGCCTTAAACCTTGGTCAAAAAGGCTGCTTGTTTGCAGTGCACAGCAGTCCACGCACAGACTCATAACTGCCTAATGTTCAGCCCTAAATGGGACATGCATATCAACTGCTCATGTACGGCTCAAAGGATATCAAAGAGAAGGCGGGGACATTATGGGACTGAAAATATGACTCAACAAGTTATGAGCACTTGCTGCTCTTGCAGTGTTGGGAACACAGCAAGGTCTTTATGTCCACAGGTCTCCAGAGAAATCAGGAATTAGTTAAGAAATGTATGATTGTTTCTCCAATGGGAAAGATATAAAAAACCCTGTTCTTCTATCCAGAAAACCACGAAATGGAAGTAATGGTCTATGTTATCTGCTGGGCTAGGCCATATTAAATACCCACAAACAGGAACAGAGATACCTAATAGTATAAATGACCCTTACATTATCTGTATAACCAGAGGCTTCCACTAAGCTCCCCCAACCAGGACTAGAGGTGGCTAACAGCCCAAATGACCTCTACCTTACCTGTGTAACTGAGCCAGGCCCTTAAGCTAGGGCCTATCTCTAGACAGTATCTTCTTGGAAGAAATGATATATACTCTGAGTCAAGTTTTGATGTAATTATGCTTCATTACAAATTACACCAGGAAACTTTTCCCCAAGTTATACTGTGTTTAAATTTGTTGGGAATAAACTGCCTAGGATCAGACTCCAGGTTGACAAAGTCAATATGAACCCAGTTTTCATCCTCATCACTTGTGGTTCACGTCCCTGACTGCCATGACCACTTATTGGGTCCCCCTTAGCAGAAGACCCAGGTTTGATTCCCAAGCACTTATACGGTAGCTCAAAACCATTGATAAACTCCTGTTTTAGGGAATCTGATAAGCTCTTTTGAGTTCAAAGCCAGACAGGGCCATATATGAAGCTCTAAGCCAGTCAGGTCTCCACAGTGAAACCCTGCTTTTAGGGGAAGCTATGTGCCCATGTGTGTAAACTGCTGGTCTCCTTATCAATGTTAGGACAAAAATATTACTTATGTTAGCCATCTGAGTGTTAGCATCTTATACTTTCATAAGCTTCTACAATCCACAGATCGGAAATTTTTGACAGCAAAAGTTCCTACCAAAACCAGCTTTCTGAGTTGTAGCTATAGTTCCACGGTAGAGTGCTACCTGCCTTGAGTCTTTGGGTTCAATGCCCAATACTGCCCACCCACACCTCAAAATTAACATGAAACAAAACAAAACACCTACACACACATACACACACCAATTTATAAGCAATAAAAATCTGTGTAAGAGGAAATGGTGTGGGGCACGACACTACATATTGTGTGTCTATTACTGGGATTTTGTTTGTTTTTGGGGTGTGTGTGTGTGTGTGAAATGAAATGAAAAATAAAACAAAGCATACAAAGACCTTAGTGGTCTTAACTATACAGCTCTTGAAAATCTTCTATCTGAAGATTTTGAAATTTCCCAAATGTAATTTATAATAAGCAGGGCAATCTACCAGTCACAAAATTATTGATACTATTGGTACAGCACCTAAATTTTCACTTTGCTTCCCCAAATTTTAAAATCAAACTTTCCCAGTCTCTTTTGAGTCTCATGCATGTAGTCCAAACTGGCCTTACAATGTGGCTAAAGATGGCCCTGAACTTCTGATCCTTCACCTTCACCTCCTAAGTGTTATGGTTAGTATAACCAGTTTACAAAGAGAATGCAACCCAGGGATCCAAGCACTCTACCAATTAAGCTATTGTCTTATCACTACACAATCTCTCTTAAAGTAGTCACTGTTTATCTGTAATACTTTTAACTAATATCCCCCTCACACATGGCTAAATTACTGTGTCTATAACCCAGGACCGGCTTATACACTTATACACACCTTTAATCCCAGGTCTTGAGAGGTATATCTGAGTTCAAGGCCAGCCTGGTCTACAGCGAAGGTTCTAGGTCAGCCAAGGCTACACAGATAACCTTGCCTCAAAAACAAAAACAAACAAAAAAAGTCTAATCTTAGGGTAGAGTGGGAGAACATGACAACTAAAGCAAAGAAAAACACCATTAACATTTAGTTAAAATTAAGATTATCTTTTCAAGAGGGGAAAAAAAATCCATTCTGCTCCCTTTTCTTCTGAATTCCCATAGTCATGTGGTTTAATAGCAATATAATGGTACATATGATGATGACATCACTGAAAGTATATAAAATAGGAAGGAGAAAAGGTTAGGAAGGAGGAAATGATAAGGAAGGGAATTGTAACTTATTTGTTACAGATAAAGGGCAAATAAGGTTTGGTTCCCCACCCAGCAGGGACAACAGAAGAACCAGATGACTGGATAACAGAGGTCAGAGAATGTCCCCTCTACTGTCGTTCTTGACGTAGTTCCTTGCCCTCCCTCAAAGTTTGCTCTACTGGGCCAATGGAGGGATTAGCTCTCACCTTCTTTCTTTCTTTCTTTCTTTCTTTCTTTCTTTCTTTCTTTCTTTCTTTCTTTATTCATTCATTCATTCATTCATTCCCTTAAATAAGTGGAGGAAGATTAGGAAAAAGAGACATAGGATTCTACATTGCCTCTCTAATTTATGCGACAGTATAACATGTAGCGCAGACTGGTCTTGACTTTCCTATGCAGTGAGGATCACCATGAGCTCCTGATCTTCCTATGTCATATCCTCAAAAGTGCTGGGTCACAAGATGAGATGACTCCTCTCTAGTATTCAACAGATTTCAGTGACAATCTTCTCAAAATTGAGAGTCTACTTACATTTCTCAATTTAAAGTAACTGATCACCAGGAACAGGGCACAAGCACATGTGCATGCGTGAGCATGGGGTGTGTGTCAGTGTGTGCGAGAATAACTAGGGTAGAGTTGTAAGGCTCAGGTGTAGAGTGTTTGACAAGTACAGACAAGGCCCCGGGTTTGGTCACTAGCCTCACTACAACCCACCAACAAGAATAAGAAAATCTAGAAAAGGACAGCTTAGTAGGATACTTAACCATCTGAAAAGCTCCATGTGGAAAAAATCTGATCCTATTCCAGAAGAGAAAGTAGAAGGTAAACTAAAATTTACTAAGGCCATAGATGCTTCTTTTCCTACCACTACACAAAAAACATTAACCCTTGACCTACATATTCCTGAGAAGGAAGAAAAACAAATACTCCACTGTTCTGCATAGTGCTTGGACTTTGTTCTTTTTAATCAACATAAATTTTGTACAACTCCCTAAAACTTTAAGCTTTACTTTTCCAAATATGTCAATGTGTTAAAAAAAAAAAAAAAAAAGCAAACCAATCTACTCAAAGTAGGTATCAGTTAATATATGGATTTCAGTTCAGACTTAGTTGTTTGCTTTATTATTTAGTTTTTAGCAAAATCCATGTCCTCTGACCATAAATAATCAGCTGAACTGACTCAATATCTTCATTCCTGCTACCCAATTCTTGCTTCTTCACTATGTACCAAGTCCTGTAAGTCCACCAATAGGACTTCTTTTGGAGGCAAGGAAAACTGATGGAGAAGAAATGACCAGTCAAACACACTGAAAAACAGAGTGCTGAGCAATAAGCTACAACGTAGCCAGACCTTATTTATCTGGGTTTATCTTGTTGAGGAGTGGGGTTTCTTAGCCTTTAGTTACCATGAGACTTAAATGAAAAAAAAGTATACCATTCTATCCTCAAACAGTCCACAGAATTGGAAGGGAAAATTTACAGCCTCTTGTACAAAAATTGTCTGAATGCCAGTGCCATACTCTGTTGTTACTTCCCATCACTCTAAATCAATAGTATCCTATCCACTGAGAGGTAAAGCAGAAACATGAGTTTCACCAGGAAAAGAGAAAGAGAGAAGATGATTTACAGGGTAAGAGTAAGGGTAGGAAGACAGAGTTCATTAAGTTTCTATGTAATGCCTAATGCATATAACATACCTGTAAAGTTATAAAACTGAAAGTAGCCAGGCATGGTGGTGCATGCCTGTACACCCAGCATTCAGGGAGGCAGAGGCAGGTGGATCTTTGTGAGTTCGAGGCTAGTCTGGTCTACAAAGTGAGTCCAGGACACACAAAGAAACCCTGTCTCAAAAAAAAACAAAAAACAAAAAAAAAAAAAAACTCAAATGTATAAGCATTCATGAAAAAGTCAGCCAAAAATTCTGTTTCCTCATTTTCCTTACATGTCCAAGCATGTAAGATGAGCAGATTGTGACTTAAAAAATAGAGGAGAGTTCCATATAGAAATATGAACTTCAAATTTTGTTCTAGGTAACTGTTTTCTCTTTAAATGTCTAATTACTCCTATATCAGAATAGTTAAAGCATGTTTTAACATTACTATAATCCACACCGTTTTTTGTATTTTTGTATTTTTTTTTTAAATAGGGTCCCACTACAGAGACCCCAGAGACCCACCTGCCTCCTAAGCACTGGGAATAAACAACTACATTCAATAAAGTATCGAAGAGTAACAGGCTACGGTTTAGTAGTTAGGTGGAAGATATGAAAACAATCTACTGAACAAAATTATTTTGTTAAATAGTTAGTATGATGTGATCATATAGTGAGGCGGTAATATTCAAATGACATAAAACTGAAGTGCTAAAAAGCCAGCTTCACAAAATGACTTCACAAAAGTCATTTCACAAAAGACATTTCCAAATTTCTTGACTGTTTTCTCTAAAAACAGAAATTACAGCTGACATACATTACCTTTCTAGAGATGGAAGAGACATTCAAACCAAATCTCTGTGCTCTTTCCTTCAGTTTATCCAGGTTAACCTACAAAAACAAAGACATTAAAACATAAGAAAAAAAGTGCTAACCTCAGGGACTAAGTGGCAGGTACACATGCCAACAATAACAACGATCTCTGAAGAGTAAAGGTGAAGGGTTCAGCCCTAATCCTTGACTCATCAATGGTGGCAAAGCAAAGCAGAAAAAACATGGCTTGAAAAAAAACCCACCATATAAAATATCATCACCTCTATAAATACGTTTCAAATTCATTAATTCCTACCACACAATCTCTAAAAGTATTTTCTTCTTTGATCGGTTTTAGTTTTCTGAGACAGGCTCTCCCTCTATGAAATCCAAAATATCCTTCAACTCATTGTATAGCCCAGGAGGGCCTCAAACTTGCAGCAATCCTCCTGCCTCAGCTTCCTGAATGCTGGGATTACAAGCATGTACAGTCATACCAGACTCTGCTAAGTGATTCTTAACTGAATCTTTAAGCAAAGATAAACTTCTCAACTTTATAAGACAAATACTACTCAACTCAATTCTTTCTTTTTTTTTTCTTGGAAGCCTTGATACATTTAGAACATGTTCATTAACAAAATATTTCAATTTTAGTTACAATACTGACTGTAGCAGGATTTCATAGTTGAAAACTTGCTGCCTAGTCACAATGGCCCAGAAAACATCACTCTACTTCCACACTCTTTACTCTCACATATATGTGTATAGTAGTTGGTTTTTTGTGATGTCTGACTGGAACTCACTCTGTAGCCCAGCTGACCTCCCCCTGCACAGGGATCTCCCAGCCTCGGCCTCCCGAGTGCTGAGATTAAGGCGTGCACTATCACACTTGGCTTTTCTTAAATGTACAGGCAACAGGCTGCTGTTGTGGCTTAGGTGGCAGAGTATCTGCCTAGCAAGCATCCTAGGGTTGAGCTCTAGTACTCATGAATCAGGTAGAGTGGAGCATGCCTGAAATCCCAGAGGTATTAGCAACAAATTCAGAAGTTCAAGGTCATCCAGCAAGACTCAGGCTGGCCCAGGAATCATGATATTCTCTTTCAAAAATTAAATCAATTTATTGATTTAAGAAAAAAAACAGTATCTATAAATAGAACTTATTAAGTTGCTTTACAGATTCTTTGTAGTTATTAAGAATTAAAAGCCAGGGACTGGAGAGGTTAAAAACATTGGTTGCTTTTGCAAAGGTCCTGAGTTCAATTCCCAGCAACCATGTGGGGGCTCACAACCATCTATAATGAAATCTGGTGGCCTCTTCTGGTGTGCAGGTGTACATGCAGAAAGAACACTGTATACATAATTAATAAATAAATCTTTAAAAAAAAATTAAACATGAACTCAGTGGCTGGTTCTTTGATCACCTCTCCCTGAGGGGGTGGGGGGAGGCTTACCAGGCCACAGAGAAAGACAATGCAGCCAATCCGGATGAGACGTGATAGGCTAGGATCAGAGGGAAGGGGAGGAGGACCTGCCCTATCAATGGACGTGGGGAGGGGCATGGGAGGAGAAGAGGGAGAGAGGGGAGGATTGGGAGGGGACAAGGGAGGGGGCTACAGCTGAGATACAAACTGAATAAACTGTAATTAATAAAATAAATAAAATTTTAAAAAAGAAAAAAAATTAAAAGCCGGGCAGTAGTGGCAAATGTCTTTAATTCCAGCTCTCATGGGCAGAGGCAAGGCAAATCTTTGAGTTTGAAGCCAGCGTGATCTACAAACTGAGTTCTACAACAGCCAGAGATACACAGAGAAATCTTGTTTCGAAAAAACAAAATTAAGTAAAATAAATTTTTAAAAAAGAATTAGACATTACCAAATGCTACTAGACAAGGCCTAAAACTTCACAGTCATAAAACAAAAGAGTTAGCCTTTAGCTAACAAAAATCTAGTTATCTTTTCAAAGTAATGGCTTGTGCCAGGCATAATGGAGCACACCTGTAATCCCAGCACTCAGGGAGGCAGGGGCAGGCTGGATCGCTGTGAATGCAAGGCTAGCCTGGTCTACAAAGAGAGTACAGGACAGCCAAGGCTACACAGAGAAACTCTGTCTCAAAAAATAAAAAGTAATGGCTGGTAGGAAAAATGGTTATCTATAGTCACTTGAAGATGTGGCAATTTTTCTAAGTTCCCCAGACTTCAAACACTTAAAATTCAGGGCATACTACACTGAAGACAGTTACCAACTCATAACCTCAGAGTCCCCTCTAATCTGACAAACTCTACAGAAGATTTCGTACCAAAGGCTTGGTGTCAGATGACAGACCTAAGGAAATAAAAAATTTAAAATTATTTAAGTTTTAAAATTCATAAAATTAAGTCTTCAAATCAAATTAAGACCATAAACATAATAAATAGGATAAAAACCCTTTAGACATATTTGAGTCCATCTCAAAGCTTAAAGAACAATGCCTATAAACAGAACTTACACGTTCCTTCCACAGACTCTTTTGTGGCTATTAGAGTTAGACCCTGGGGCTGGTGACATGGCTCAGCAGGTAGAGTGCCTGCTGCACAGCCTGGCAATGCAATTCTCAGAGCCCACGCAAATGTGAAAGGGGACAATCAAGCCCATGTGGGCTATCTTCTATACACAGGTTCAAAAAATGAAATAAAACATGTATGCACACAAAAACTTAGAAACAAACACTTGCAGTATCATTAGTTGTATCAGAGAAATAGTAAAAGCAATCAATGAACTACCAACTGATAACTGGATAAATAAAATGTGACATGTTCATTTAGGAGGATATATTATAAGCAATAAAATGATGAAATCTTCTTTACCATCAATGCTGGAGGTATGTTAGGCTGAGGGTGATGTTCAGTGGCACAGTACTAATAAACAGACATGACATACAGAACAGGCCTGGTGGTACAGATCTGTAATTTTAGCATTTGGGAGGCTAAAGGAGAAAGATCATAAATCTGAGGAGACCAGCCAAAGTAAGCTATACAGCAAGTTAGGCCACCCTGGAGTACATAGTGAAATTCTTTTTTTTTTTTTTAATTAATTAATGCAATTTACATCAAGGTCAGAGGCCGCCCCCTCCTCTCCTCCCAAATCCTATCCCCTCTCTCCTATTCCTTAGAATAGGGAAACCCACCCCTCTACCCAGCCACCCCAGCTCATCTATTCCCATGAGGACTGAACCCCTCTTCCTCTCCTGTGACCTTGAAAGGCCATCCAATCAGGGGAAAGTGATCAGAACGCAAACAAGGTGAAATTCTGTATCAAAAACAGCAAAAAGCTAAAGTATCATGCTAAGTGGAAAAGCTAATTACAAAAGATCACATATATGATTTCCATTTGTGTGAAGGCAAAATCATAAATGGAGACAAACATCAGTAGTTGATTAAGCACTGGGATAAAAGAAGAAATGAAGAAAAACTGACAACAGGCACAAAATTTCTTTTGTTGGTGGTGAGTGTCAAGACTTACTGTAATGTTGCACAAACCTCTGGATAAACTAAAAAAAAATAATTACATACTACGTGGTATGTATGTATGTATGTATGTATGTATATATGCATGCATGTCTGTCTGTCTACATGTGTGTATGTATATATGGTGGTCCTCCATATTCTTGGGCATTTCAGCACCTGGTCCAGTTGCTGGTATTTGAGGAGATTCAGAAATGTGGCCTTGGTGAATAAGTATCACTGGAGGAGGGCTTTGAAAAGGCCTAGCCCACTTCCAGTTCACTTTCTGTGCTCTATACCTGTGTTTCAAGATGGAAGCTCTCAGCTTCCTGCTCCTGCCACCATGCCTGCTGCCTGTAGCCATGCTTCTGATCCACTCTGGAGCCATAAGCCAAAATAAATGTTCTCTTCCTCAAGTTGCCTTCCATTATGGTGTTTTGCCATACCAACAGAAAAAGTAATTATATGTATATATGTAACAGAGGATGGATGACCCTGAACCCCAAATCCCCCTTTGTCCACTTCTTCACCAAGGCCTCTCAAGGACTATCCAGCCACTAGGCTTTTTTTTACCCCCTTTCATCATTTTTTTTATTCTTCTTTTTTTTTATGTTCAGGGTTTCTCTGGGTAGCCTTGACTGTCCCAGAACTCACTCTGTAGACCAGAGAGGTCTCAAACTTACAGAGATCTGTCTACCTCTGCCTCCCGAATACTAGGATTAAAGGTGTGAGCCACCACCATCCTGGCCCTTCTTTTTTAAAGACCGTTTTCTATATAGCTGAGGCTGGATTTCAACTGGTAATTCTTTTACCTTGGTCTCCCAGGTGCCATGATTACAGGAATACACCACTATAGCCTATCTTAAAATATTGTGTTTTGTGTGTACATATGAAGGCCAGAGGAAAATCAATCTCAGGTACTTTTTTTTTTTTAATCGAGACAGGGTCTCTCGCTGGCCTAAAGCCTACCATCAGTTGGGACAGCTGGCTAGAAGGCTCCAGGTATCCGACCTGCCTCTTGCCTGCCCTAGGATTATAAACCGACACCACCATATCCTGCTTTGTAAATGTGAGTTCTGGGACTCAGCCCTTAAATCATTTTTAACATTCTACATAGTCTCCTATACTACAGTATACATTTAATTAACACTATATTGGCTATGTTTTTTCCCCAATGACTGATGAACATATGATGTTAACAAGAGGTTACTACTTTGTAAGTTCTTCAAAGTAAAACTGAAGTCAAAATCTTCTTCACTTAAATGCTCAGAGCACTGAAAAACTACAATAATTTTATGCTAATAAGACACAAAATAAGTAACAAGGTACTAGAAATTTCTCAGACATCCTAGAAAAAAAAAGTGAGATCTCCTCTCTCATAATTCCAGAACCTTTTCTTAATTATTCATGAGGGTACAAATGTAAAGGCTTCTAGAGATAAATTTATCTTAATTTAGAGGAATAAAATATATTCTCAGAAAAGAAAAAAAGTAAACCTTCTCAAAAGAACCTCTGTATTCTCACCTTTTGTTGGAACTGAAGAAATTCCAAACCTGCAGGAAGAAAACAAAACAAAACCTAAATTTTAAGAAGCTGTTCACACCCTTAGTCGTCTGTGTCCGTGTCAAGGGTACATGACACTTCTTCCTTGTGATCTCAAACTTTGCAATCATTAGCTAATTCTAACAACCCCATGAAAGAGGTTCAGTTTATTCTCTTTCTCACCAAAAGTCCAAGAGTCCACTAAAAGAAATCCTCAGACTGAGGAGCAGCTGTCAGCTACTGACTTTTACCTATTATAAAAACCCTGACTGATAACAACAAAACCCAATATACAGCTACTATATAAAATCAGCAGAAATGTTCTGAGTATGGCCCAAACCGTGTTCATTAATTTCAATGAGAACACTTCCACTTAAAACCAACTATTCTAGAAGCAAATCTGACCACACGCACAACATCTCCATCTTGGGTCCAAAGGGCTACAAGTACTCACCGAGCTGCCCGAGCAGCCTTCTTGCTCTCCAAGCTTACAGGTACATTGAATCGTTCAGCCCTTTTCTGCATTCTCTAAGTGATAATAAAATGAAAAATGAAAAAACTGTAATTTTTTGTTTAAAAAAAATTGATTAAGATCTAAAGGAAAATACTTACACCATATCAGGTAGTATTCATTCTAACGATTAACACAATTGTTTTCAGAAAGCAAACACACACACACACCTATTATTGCATTCATTCTCAAAAATAAATAAATAAATAAATAAAATAAAATAAAATCCAATTCCTACATAAACCCCAAAACACAAAAGTTACATTTGATTTTAGAAAGAAAGAAAGGTAAGAGGAAAGGAGGCTGGGAGAGAGGGGAAGAAGAGGAGGAGGAGAAAGAACAAGATCAAAGGAACATCTTGGTTCCAATATAGGTAACTGAACAGTGTAAAAAAAAAAAAAAGAAAATCTTTGCTTTGAGCCAGGGATGGTGGCACACTCCTAGCATTCAGGAAGCAGAGAGGCAGGCAAATTTCTGAGTTCGAGGCCAGCCTGATCTACAGAGTGAGTTCCAGGACAGCCAAGGCTACACAGAGAAATCTTGTTTAAAAAAAAAAAAAAAAAAAAAAAAAAAAAAAAAAACAGCACAACAAAAACCCCTCTACTTTTGAACTAAACACAAGATCTCAAAGAAAACCTGATTTCATACATCTTGAGATAAGAATCCAATGAAATTTTACTCTTACCAGCCACCAACTAGCAAGTTACATACAAGGTATATACAACCCTCTCAGACTCTAATCCTATGCCTGTAAACTTATTAAAAAGTTACTATTAAGGCCACAGTGGTGTAACAGAGGACAGCTTAAATAACTACTCATCATGCCAGCCCAAATATTTTCCTGAGTAGATGGAGGAAGAAAACAATTGTCAATACTGAATTTCTCTATGAATAAAGTTACTTTTACATTTATTTATTGCAGGATGTATGCATCTCCACTACAACATATGGAACTCTATTTGCTTCCTAGTAACATGTGGTTCCAGGGGATCAAACTCAGGCTTTAACCACAGGCACCTTTTTACTCAACAGCCTCAAGTGAAATTTTTTAAGTAATACTGCAGACAGAAGAAAGGATTAAAAACAGAAATGGCCAGGCATGGTGACACATGCCTAGAATCTGAGTACCTGGGATGGTAAAGTAGAAAGATTTTGTTTAGGGACAGCCAAAGCTACATAGTCTGATAACCTGAGCCAGGATGCCCCAAAACCCACATAAAAACAGAACCCAGGTAAAAATCCAGACTCCTGCTGCAAGACGGGAGTGGGAGTAGGTGTCTGCTGGGAGCTCATGGGCCAGCTTGCCTGGGATACACAGCACAGCAGCAGAAATAAGAGAGGACCTGACCAGGCCCAGAGAGATGGTTCAGTGAGTTGTTTGCTGTGAAGCCAGATGACCTAAGTTTGCTCTCTGGAATCCACATGCTTCAAGGAGAGATCCAATTCCCCCAGGCTGTCCTCTGACCTACGCAAGCATTCATGCATGCACGCGCGCGCGCGCACACACACACACACACACACACACACACACACACACACACACACCACTAAAAAATGTTTTTAAAAGTTACAAAGCCCCCGACCTCAACAAAGTGGAAGGCAAGAACTGGCTCTGAAAGCGCCCTCTGGAGCGCACATGCACACCATGGCCTTACGCACCTCCATCCCCATCCCAATACATTAAAGAAAGAAGACTTACTTCAGTCTGAGGGATTCCAGATGTAATTTTTACCACCTTCTTTTCTGATGCCCTGAAAAGAAGATTTTTAAAACTCAGAAAACTAGTCTTAGCCCAAACCTCGAGACGCACACGAATCCACCTGAGCTATATCCTCTGCCCACAGGCATCCACCCCTCTTAAGCCAAAGCATGAAGTCCTAAGAACTCTGGGTCCGTGAACAGTTATCAACTGAGAAAAGACTAAATAAAACTAAGCTACTTTAACTAAGGTGTAAGAAAATGACCAGCAAATATGCTGGGCTGAAGGAACATAGTAAATCATTTTATTTGTTTTTAGGCACTTTACAGTTACTTTTGAACTAAGAACTCTCTCTCCAATCAATTAAACAGAAGCTCTCAGTTTTCATCACAATATTTAACAAGTGCTGAACAAGCCCTGATTTCCCTCTTTTATAAGTGTCTATTGCTCCCGTGAGGTTTTAGCTCTAGCTAAAAGTCAAAGCAGAACAAATAAAAATGCCACAGGAAGTGGGAAGAAAAAAGGCCAAGGAGGTAGGGGTTGAATTGGGAAAACATAGTAAGTTACTGGTCAAAAGGTTTAAGAGATAACAAAAGAGGGGGACCACAGGGGCAGGAGACAAAGTTCGGAAGTCCCCAGGATAAATGGAAGGGCATTAACTTTCCAACAAACAACTCCCATAAAACTGTGGGTCATAACCAGTCTCATTAAGGTCCCTTATTTAGAGACATGGGGAGCTTTTGTTCCAATATCCCAAACACTTTTCCCATTTGACGCCCTGAAAGGTAGTAATGGTTTAATGACATTTTCAGAGGAAGCAATTCTGGAACAAGACCTAACTCTCTCCTCCATCCTTTTGTTGAAAGTCCTTAGACTATCGGCAAGCAATGAATGCCCCCTGCTGACCATAACCAAGTCCTACAATATTTAATTGTCTTGGCTCAGGGGGAAAGAAAACCTTAAAACTAGAAACAGAAGTGTGTATTTCAGACCAAAGATGATGTAGCAATTTCCTTTGGAAATACAAGGGATTCAAATCAACCCTGGAATATTCAGACCGGTCACCAACCCTCCATCTTTTTATTGCTGCTGTCTAAAACACAGCCTCTCTAATGTGGCCAAAGCTATCTTCAAACTCCCAACCCTTTTGCCTCCATTTCTCTAGTGCTGAAATTACAAGTATACACTGTATATATACACACCCTTACCTCCCTTCTCTTTTTAAGACAGGATGTTACCCTGTAACCCTGGTTGGCCTATAATTTCCTATCTAGACCAGGCTGGCCTTAAACTCAAGAGATCTGTCTGCCTCTGCATCCTAAATGTTGGGATTAAAAGTGTAGCCACAGCCAGACAGAATAGCGCACAGCTTTAAGTCTTGCATTTGAGAGGCAGGGACAAGAGGATCTCTGTGAGTTCAAGACAAGCCTGATCTACAGAGTGATCCCCAGAACAGGCAGAGCTATTACAGAGAGAAACACTGTCTCTAAAAACCAAAAACAAAATAGAAAAGGCATGATCCATCAGGCCCAGTAGAACTTTTCTTTTAATGAAATTAGACTTCAAGTAAAACATAAACTTCCGTGTCTTTTTATCTAACACAACAGAAGCAAAAGCCAGGCACGGTGGGGCACACACTTTTTAAATTCCAGTCCTTGGGAGGCAGAGGCAGTCTTATATCAACTTAAGGATAGTGAGTTCCACATTTCTGTCTGATTTTTGTTGTCACTATTTTTCAGACAGTATCTTAACTAACCCAGCCGGACCTCAAACTTGGCTAAGAATGATATCAACTTCTGATCTGTTTGCCTCCAGTGCTGGGATTATAAATGTGCAATACTGCATCTAGTTTTACTCAAAGCTGGGGACTGAACTCAGTGCTGTCTATGCCAGGCAGTTTACCAACTAAGCTACAATCTCAGCCCCATGTTCACACCCTGAAAAACAATCATTACAGTAGACCTTGGAGTAGCAAGGGAACCTGAGACAAAACTTCTCATGTTACACTCCAATTCCCGTAGACATAATTAAGCAATAAATATACATGACATCCTGCAGGATTCATGGGAAATTCCCATTCTTCACTGACCAATTTTTCTCCTACCCAGTCACAACAAAAAGTATTCCCCTAATTTCGGGGACTCCAAATCTTTCTGTATAGTTTAGTCTATAACCACAACTATTCCTCTGCAAAACAAAGTTAAAACAATCCAACTTTCATTGTCTTTTTTTCTAAATTTATTAATAGGATTAAAGCTGTCTGAAAAGATATATTCTAATATGATCTATTTTCAAAACCTCTTTATTTTTAATCCAAACTAGCCAACTATCACTATACTCATTTGATCTTCATTCTTGTACCACAAACCCCCAAAATATTTTAAAACTATTTCACTAGATCATTTTCTCTAGGCACTATATCTAATGATAAACCTATATACAGGCTGGGGGTGCAGACTGTATGCTTAGTATACATAAGGACTTCAGTTCAATCTGAGCATAAAAGTGGGAAGGTCAAGGGGATTTAAACTAAAACAAAACGTTCTGAAAAGTAACTGTGGTGGTTTGAATAGGAATGGCCACCACACTACAAGGAGGCCCCAACTAGCACTACTCACAGGGATTGCGAGGTGTGGCCTTGATGGATGTCCTCCACAGGCTCAGATTTCAATGTCTGCTCATCAGCAGCGGCACTATTAGAAGGTATGGCCTTGCTGGAAGAAGTATGTCACTGGGGGTGGGCTCTGTCCAGGCCGTCTCTCTCTTTTCCTGCTGCCTGCCAATCCAGGCCCTAGTCTTCCCTTCCTCAGTCAACTGATCATAGGCAACACCCCAAGAGCCTATAGGTGCACGCTTATCAACAGACAGCATTGAAATTCAAGTAGAAACCATAGACATTTGGGCAACTTCCTCACGTAACTTACTCATGCCTTCAGGACCTGCTCAGGCCCGATCATGACTTTTGCTGTACACATGCTACTTCATGACTTGGTGGGTCTAATAACACCTAGCTCATGATGGGCAATTCAGGTAGCATGGTAGCTTGGTGGTTCATTGTCAAACATTCAGTTTCCACTAAGGACCAACAACAGGCCAAGAGCCCTCTTTCAAGGGGAGAATAGTTGCCTGCAGATGATGGTTACAGCCTTAGTCCAAAACCCCAAGTCTGTGATTCACCTCTAGGTACCTACCAAAGGCTCCAAATAGCATCCCTATCTGCCACTGACACTTCGAGTACTAGTGCGTCTACTGGATCCAAGAGGAAGAGCAGCATACACAGCAACCTGGACTTTCTCCTGTTCCAGGCCCCACACAATGCTAGCAGGTTTCTGAGTCACTTGGTATATGGGTCAGAGTAACACATCCAAGTGGGGAATAAGCTGTATCCAGAATCCAAATAGGCCCACTAAACATTGTACTTCTTTCTTGGTGGGGGAAGGGATCAGGTATAACACTTCTCCTTCACCTTAGAAGGAATATCTCTGTATGCCCTACACAACTGAACTCCTAAGAATTTCACTGAGGTAGAAGGTAGAATTTTGGTTGGATTTATTTCCCATCCTCTGATCAGCATATGTGTTACCAATGAGTTCAATGTGGTTGCCACCCCCGCTCACTTGATCCAGTCGACATGGTACACCACCAGTGTGATACTTTGAGGAAGAGACAGCGAAGATCCCTTCTAATTTATGACACAGATCACAAGAGGCAAAGACACAAGATCCTTGAGGCAAAACTGTAAAAGTATACTGTTGGCTTTGCCAACTGAAAGCAAATTGCTCCTGACGGTCCTAAGGACAGGTACTGAGAAAAGGCATTTGCCAGATCAATAGCTGCATAACATGTACTAGGAAATGTGTAAATATGCTCAAAGACATTACATCCAGTACAGCAGCTGCAACTGGAGTCACTACCTGATTTAGTTTTCCAGAGTCAAATGTCATTCTCCATGATCCATCTGTCTTCTACACTGGCCAGATAGGAGACATAAAGGGAGATGTGGTAAGGAACCACCCCTACATCTTTCAAGTCCTTGGTGGTGGCTCTAGTTTCTGCAACTCCTTCAGGATTATGATACTGTTTTTGATTCACTATTTTCTTCGGCAAAGGCAGCTCTAAAAACTTCTGTTTAGCTTTCCAACAATAACAGCCCTCATTCCACAGCTCAGGGCCAAACGTGAGGATTCTGCCAACCTCTAAGTACACGTATCCCAATTATACATCCTGGACCTGGGGAACCTACTAGATCTACTGTGAGTCAGCCAAAACTCCATTAAGCATATGGTCCCCACAAGCCCCTAATTTAACTGGAGGGCCACAGTATTTCACAGGACCTCCCCAAATCAATGTCAATTCAGAACTAGTATTCAATAGAACCTGGAAAGCCTGACTGTTTCCTTTCTCCCGGTGCACAGTTACCCTTGTAAAAAAGGCTATAGGTCCCTCTACGGAAAAACTGGAGAAAGGCTAACAGAAAAACTCCTAGGTGTTTTATCAAGAAACTCCCTCAGGGGAACCTGGCCACCCCTTCATTCAAGGGGTTTTGGGTCTGCAAATTAGGTTAGGTCTAGAAACTGAATCACTGGCTTAGATTGCTTTTTGCTACCATCCAACTGAGCCTTTCTTTCATTAGTTTGAGAATTTTTCTGCTTATACAGATACAACAGAAATTCAGTATCTATATCATGCCTGGAAACACCATGACTGATCAGCCAGTACCAAAGCTCCATACATGCCATGCCATTATAATATTCAGCTTGCCTATGCTGACCATTACAGGCTAGGTCATTATAAATACTGTTTTGTATTATGATAACTATGATCACCTTGCCCCTGGCAATTCAATGCAGACACCTGGCCCCTGCTACCTTGGGGTCCAATTAAACCCACTGCATTTAATTTGTCCATCTGAACAGCAGCATCTCCTACCTTAAGGTCCAGCACAAGGAAAAAGGTGACAACAAAACTCTTCAAATGTGCTGGTGCCTGGCTCCCCATTTTGCATCTTATAGGATTCATAAAGGGCATGTTTTCTGGGCCTTCACACTGTGCAGGATTAGGTTTAATACAGAGTACCCATTCTAGTATTCCAATTTCCCTGAGCCTTAAGCCAAGTGATATCAGGCACCTCCAAATCTCCAACTTCTTGTCAGTAGCTGATAAACCAACCATTCAATCAATCTTTTGACACCTTTTTTGTTTTTTAAAACAGGGTTTCTCTGTGTAGCTTTGGCTGTCCTGGACTTTACAGGCTGACCTGGAACTCAAAGCGATCCGCCTGCCTCTGCCTCCCAAATGCTGGGATTAAAGGCGTGCACTACCACACCTGGCTTTTTTAACTGTGCAAGCTTCCATATTAAACCTAGAATCTCCACTCAGTGGTCCCGAATCAATAAACTCAGCCAGATATAGTTCTTTGCTCTTTCCACTATTATCCCACACCCTTAAAATTATTCCCACAAATATTCCCCAGACTTCTGTTTGAATAAATTAAGCAACATCATTAAGCTCCTTAGTAGTATAGTGTACTTTCTTATGGACTACACTTTCTACCTCCTGTCTAGGGTCTTGCTTTGCCTTGAGTCTGGATATAGGTCTACAGGCAACTATTAGTGGGCCTTGAGGGATATCAGTATTGTCTTGCCTGGCATTTCCTTCAGAGAAAGTCACTGCTGGTTTAGCAGACACTAAAGGTGAAAAGGGCAATATTTCAAGGGGTGGGTCTGAGGGTACTATTAGAGTCTCAAGGAAGATAAACTGTTGAGACTGAGGGTTCAAAGTTCTGAGCTTCAATAGGATCCTCCCACATATCCCCATCCCAAGTTATAGAATCCCATTCTTTGCCAGCTGATGTTCTCACTTTAACTGCTGACACCCTCTGAAGCTGAGACTTGAATTTTCACCATAACTCAGGCAACTTTATAATGAGGGCTTCGGTTTGGTTCTCTGCAGCTTGAGCTTTATGGCTGCTGGAGCAAAGATTCTCTTGTTTATTCCCATCTGGAGCCGGTGAATTCTATCACTAAGTTGTTATCCTTCACCATATTCTAAAGTTGGTTAATTTTATCTTAGAGCTTATTCCTATCCAGAAATGCTAAAAGCAATTTATCCAGAAATGCTTTTAGCAACCAACGTCATTTTCCTTATTTTCCCTCAAATTATCGAAAGTTTCATATACTGGGTCACCAAATGCACCGCCACTCACAACTGATAAATCAAGATAATCAAACACATTTACCTCTTTAAGTTTGAAATATAGTTTCAACAATGGACTTTTAATAATCCTTAGCTCCCAAGAGAGGCTGACTGGATAGGTGTCAATAGCTGAAGGTGCTGGCGCATTATAAAACCTATTCCAGCCAAATACCTAAAAGATTCATCATTGATGAGAACTGATAGACTAGGATCAGAAGGAAGGAGAGGAAGACCTCCCCCTATCAGTGGACTTGAGGAGGGGCATGTGTGGAGAAGGGGAAGGGAGGGTGGGATTGGGAGGAGAGAAAAGGAGGGAGCTACGGGGGGATACAAAGTGAATAAAGTGTAATTAATAAAAATTAAAATAAAAAATAAAAAGATTAATCATTATATTTCTGTTCCTCTAGAACCACTTCTGATTCCAAAATCTTAGGGCTCTCTAGAATCACAGAACTTCTGGAATGAATATATCTCCCTCTCCATATACATATATATATAAAGGGAACCTGGAATGACTTACATGCTTCAGTCCAACTAATACAACAATGGCCAATTGTGAATGGAAAGTCCACAAATCTAGTAGTTGCTCAGTGCCACAAGGCTGGGTGTCTCAAAAGGTTGGTTGTATACAAAAGATACAACCTATCTTTTGTATAAACTGGTAATCTGAAGTAGGCTTTAATGGATGTGCTGGCAAAGTGAGTGCAAACAGGGAAAGAACATGAAAACCCTTCCTTCTTCCACTGACCTTATATAGGCTTCCAGCAGAAGATATGGCAGAAGTTAAAGGTGTGCCTCAAGATCTGGATTAAAGCCTGGGTCATCCCACCTCAAGACCTGGAGACAGGCATGGTGGAGCACACCTTTAATCCTAGCACTCAGGGAGGCAGAGGCAGGCAGATCTATGCGATTTCAAGGCTACCCTGGTTTACAGGACAGCCAAAGCTACTCACACATACACACAAAAGACCCAGATTCCAGCCCCAAGATCTGGATCAAAGGCATGCTGTCTTGCTGCCTCAAGACCTGCATCATAGGTGTGCCCTCAATACTGGATCGTAGTTCATTCCAGATATAGTTAAGTAGAGAATAGCCAAAACAACGTTCAAGGTCATTCTTGCCTATACAGCCAAGTTCTACAACAACCTGAGCTAAAAATATCAGACCCAGAGAAAATGCGAATAATTACTAGAAAGAATAAGGTTTTAAAGTTAATAGCCATTATATCTGTATGATAGGTATAAGGTCTATTGTACTACTCTCTTAATTTTTAAAGCTATTTACTTGTACTTTCCTACAATTACAAGCTAAAAAAAAAAAAAAACTTGCTAGAATAATTAACACCACAGGGTTAAAGTGAGGATTGAAAGATAATATTAAAATTATGTCTAACATATAACATTGAAATAAATTATCACTGTAATATAAAAAGATCTCCTGGTGTGAAAGGAAAATAAAACAACAATGCACAGCACCTAAACATATCCACATATTCATATATGTGACACCTACACATTCCAAGTTAAACACCCACAAAAAAAGTACTAAAGGCCTTTAGAAAGTCTCATGGAATGTACTCATTTCCTTTTTCGTAAAAAAGATTTCTTTTTATCATCTGCTTGAGTGTTTTGCCTGCAAATCTGTGTAGTGCCTGCAAAGGCCAAAAGAGGGCATTGGATCCCCTGAAACTGGAATCATACAGGTGGTAAGCTATGTGGGTGCTGGGAACCAAACCCAGGTCTTCTCTAAGAGCAATATGTATTCTGAACCACTAACCATCTCTATTTTAGTTTTCTATTTTAAGTTTCTATTTCAGCTGTTTTCTGTGTTTGGGTTTTGTTTTTTTGTTTGTTTGTTTGTTTGTTTTGTGTTGTAAGAGATCTAATCCAGGATCTATAATTCAGTAAGCTATATATCCAGCCCCTTCATTTACAATTTATATACTCACCTATGTACTATTTAACACCCTCCCTTTCTCCTCTGCCCATCTCTCCATGTGTATTTTGTCTTTTAAAGGTTTTGGTCCATTCCAACTCCCTGAATATAGGGAATTAAGAAAGCACTCTAAGCTGGGTATGGTGGTGCACACCTTCAATTCCAGGCAGAGGCAGGCAATCACTGTGCGTTTGAGGACAGCTTGGTTTACAACGTGAGTCTAGGACAGCCAAGGCTGAGCTACAAAGAAGACCCAATCTCAAAATTAACTACACCACTATGAAGGACAAAAATGGTAGGATTCTACCCAGACCTAATGTTCCAAAGTACAAGATGGCTAAAAGAGCCCCTAATAAAATGTTTATGATTCATAAAATGTTTATGTTTAGGATAATTTAACCAAATCAGAACATACATACTTTCTACTCCAATATTTTGTCTTCTTTTACTCCACTGTAAATCATAGAGAGTAACCTTACCCAAGATAAGCTTACAAAGTTCCACACTCTTTTATAAAAGTAAAAAGTTTTCTGTAAAAGTACAAACAAAATTCAATAAGTAACAGTTTACAGGACTGGGCATGGTGGAACATGCTTTCAATCCCAGCACTCCAGAAGCAAAGGCTAACGCTAAAACACTTTATAGGAATTCGCACTGCAGAGGGAATCATAAATTCTAATCCAATAATCTATTACAATGGCTCACAAAAGCACAAAGGCTAGGAGAAGCAAACCTGATTCTAATTACCTAATAACTCAGAGAAAATTTCACTTTCTTCACTGAAAACATACCTAACACAGACCTTTCTAAAAGTACCTGACCTTATCAGAAATGAAAAGGTCACTGGGAACGTGTAACCCAATATTTTTTTAAGCACTATTTGGAATCCTAAGGGTTTCACTGGTAAATGCTTGCCATATGAGCCTGGGGAACTGAGTTCGAGTCCCACTCTTCCTGTGAAAAAGATATGTATGGAACTGGTGCCTAAGATCTCAGCACTAGGTGGAGGCAGGAAGATCTCTGGGGCTCACTGGCCAGTCATTCTACTCAAATGGGGAAGCTCTTTGCCAGAGAAATCTTATCTCAAAAAGTAGATAAAGATGGGCATAGTGGCACATGCCTTTAATCCCAGCACTTAGGAGGTAAAGGCAGATGGTCTCTGTCAATTTGAGGCCAGCCTGGTCTACAAAGCATGTTCCAGGACAGCCAGTGATACAAAGAGAAACCCTGTCTTAGGTGGGGGTGGGGCACAGATTATTAAAAAGTGATGATTACATATCAACAGCTTTTTCAGGAGGTTCTTCTTCTTTAACAGGCAACTCTATGGGCTTTGGTTCTTCTTCCTAAAACCAAACGAAACAACGTGGTTAATATGAATTAAGAATATCCATTAAGAGTCAGGCAGTATAGAGGCAGGTAGATCTCTGTGACTTTGAGGCCAGCTTGGTCTACAGAGAAAGTTTCAGGACAGCCAAGGCTAAACAGAGAAACCTTGTCTCGAAAAACAAACAAACAAACAAAAACCAAAATAAAAACAAACAACAACAAAAGTCAGGCAGTGGTGGTGCACGCCTTTAATCACAGCGCTCAGGAACCAAAGGAAGGTTGACAGTCTGAGTTTGAGGATAGCCTGGTTTATAGAGCAAGTTCAAGGACAACCAGAGCTAGACAGAGAAACCCTGCCCCCCTCCCCAAATAATCCATAAGGGGTTCTGGAGAGATGGCTCAACAAGTAAGTGCATACTACTCTTCCAGAGGACCTGAGCTTAATTCCTAGCACCCATTTCAGGACACTCAAAACTGTCTCTGACTCCCACTCCAGGGGATCTGACACCTCTGGCCTCCACAGGTGCTACACCCACATGCACATAACATTTACACAAATAGACACATAATAAATATAAAATAAAATCTTCAAGAAAAAAAATTTAAAACCAGAATGCCCATTAAAGCCATCAAGATCGCTGAAGTGAGCAGGTGAGACACTAGTAATGCCAAGCTTGTGACCCTGAAATCAATCCTCTCCTCAGAACCAAGGTAAAAGCCAGATACAGTGGTATTGATCTGCAACCCAGCATTCCTACAGGAAGATGGCTGAGACAAGAGAAGTTTCTGGTTAGTTAGGTTGGAGTATACAGCTCAGCAGAAACAAGAAAAGAAAACCCTACCTCAAACAAGGTGGAAAGAGAAAACTAAGTCCAGAAAATCATCAACTCCACATGCTTGAGCCCAGGATTTCATACACTTACACATGCATTTCATTTCCACTGAAGACAGCAACAATAAAAACACCCCTTTTAAAAAAAAAGATTAACTGTGTGGTTTTGCACTAGGGGAGGCAGAGGCAGGAGGATCTCTTTGAGTTTGAGGTCAGCCTGGACTACAAAAACTGAGTGTAGGACAGCCAAAGCTACACAGAGAAACCCTGTCTGGAAAAAACAGCCTCCCTACCCCCAAAAATAAATAAATAAAATTAAAATTGAAATTAAAACTGGGCCCAGCAGCACTCAGGAGGTGGGAATAGAAAGAACAGAAAGTTCAGGTTATTCTCAGCTACATAGTGTATCTGATGCCAGCCTGGGCTATAAGACTCTACCTCAAAAACATTAATTAAATTCTATTAGGAAAATAAAGGAATATCCACCAAGAGACAATATGAGAACTACAAAATGAACCACTCTTGATTCTTCTCAAGCATCTAAGAACTGAAACAATTAACAGTAAACAATTCAGCCAAAGCAGTGGCATATTGTCAGGCCAGTGATGAACCTTTCCCTACTCACCTCAGTTTCATCTCCCAGTACATCTTCTTCATTTGCTTCCTCTTCAGCTAAAGAACATTAAAATATTCACATCAAGCCTTGCTATAAAGCCATCTTGATCACTGTGGTAAGAGTAAAATTACAACCTCTTTGCTTTCCCAAAATAAAATTCAATAATGAAGGTAGAGCCAATCCTTATAAAATAAGCCACATTTAGAGACAATAAAACCAGATCTCTATCTAATGCTCATTTCCACCTGAACTGAATAACTAAATGCAATTAGGTTGTAATTAAGTCACAGTATAAAATTAACTTTAAAACTAATTAGGACAGGGTATGGTGGTATATGCCCTGTAATCCCAGCATTTGGGAGACAGAGGCAAAACAATCTATAAATTCAAAGCCATTCTCAGTTACAGAGGCCAGCCTGGGCTAAATAAGCAACAACAACAAAAGAAGGCGTGTAGGTGCAGGTGGGTGTGTATGCACCTATGTGTGCCAAGAGTATGTCTGTGTGAAGATACATCAGTTCACTTCCCGGAACACACATAAAAATGTCAAGCACAGTGGTGAACCCTTGTAATCCCAGACCTGGGGAGCAAAGCAGAGCCAGAACCCAGTGACAGAGCCTGTCTAAAATGACTCCTAAGAACAATACCAACAATTGACCTCTAGCGAGAGAGAGAGAGAGAGCAGGAGGGAGGGAATAGTGCTAGAGAATAATGAAGAAAGTGTCTTTGAAAATGGTGCAAGGCTCAGCCATTAATGACTCAAAGGCAAAACACCAAGAGATTTAGCAGTAGGGAAGAATTTCTTTAAAAAAAAAAATAATAATAATAAGCAAACAAACAAATGGTGCTGGAGAGATAGCTCCGAAGGTAAGAGTGCTTGCTGCTCTTCAGGACCATGGTTCAGATCCCAGGCAATTCACACTACCTGTAATTCTCATCACCAAGGAATGTGACACCTTCTACTGGCCTCCTGAGGCGCTCACGTACACAAACACAAATAAACAAAAAACGGTGAAATTTTTACATTTAAAAATGAAGCACTTCTACTAAAGAACAAGGAAAAAACATGAAGGACCAATGACAAAGATGATTGTGTTTAAAAACAAGGTAGTCAGGCATAGTGCCTCGAGTGGTAATTCTAGCACTTGTGGGCCAAGAAGAAAGCCATAGAACTAGGAACAGAGACAGCACTTAAAACTTTCACCATGGAGAAAAGTACCGTACATTAAAACCAACCAATTAATGAAACTAGGCCACTTGACAGAATAATGCCAAGTATAGGTCTGTGGAGATGAAAGAACCCTGAGTAAAGTTAAAGACCGTAGCTGTACGCCTTTAACCCCAGCACTCTGGGAGGCAGAGGCAGGCAGATCTGTGTAATTTTGGGATAAGCATGGTCTACAATGAGAGTTCTAAGACAGCCAGGAATGTTACACAGAGAAACTTTGTGTTAAAAAAAAAGGGGGGGGGGGAATGAGTGGTTGTGAGTGGTCATGTGGGTGCTGGGAACCAAACTCTGGTCCTCTGCAAGTCTCTTAACTGCTGAGCCATCTCTACAGCCCCAAATAAAATCTTTTTAAAAATAAAAGTTTTTTTGTTTACTTGTTTGTTTTAAAAGAAAAGAACCCTGATGTCCTAATAAAAAATATAGATTTATATGGGAATCATAGGAAGCAACTTGGCAGTGCTAAGTCATGAAAGTGTTTCTACATTTGTGACTATATAATTGTACTCCTAATGTGGGTATATATTACATAAGCTCACAGGCACATGGAGCAGAGAAGTAGCTTGCTTATAAAAGAACTATAATCCTAACAATACAGTAATATATAACACACAATATTACATATGGTGCATACTAGTAGCATTCAATCACTTAGGGCTTGGAGGCAAAATTGGCATCTGTTAAGGGATGGAGCATAAGATGTGGCGGCTGGACAGGTGAGACAGCACACACATCTGCTACCAAGCCTGATAACATGAGTTCAATCCCTACAGAGAACTGACCCTGCAATGTCATCTGACTTTTGAGATGTGCACACACCACACACACACAAATGTAATAAAAATCTTAAAAAAAAAAAAAAATAACTGTGGTTGCTATATATCAGAGAATGCAATGGTGGAAATGGAATGAATAAAGCAAAAAAAAAAAAAAAAAAAAAAACCCAGAAAATCTCATGCCACAGTATAAGTTTGGGTTATTTTTGTGTGTGTGGGCATGTCTGAGTATGTATGCAGTGAGTGCAAGCATGTATATATGTGGAGTCCAAAAGAAGTTAAACATCCTGCTCTAACATGCTCATCCTCACACTCTTGAGACACGGTCTCTCATGCATCTGGACCTCTCCAGCCATAACACTTCTCCCCAGGGCTGAGGTCACAGGCAGACACGGCTACCCAGCTCCCACATGGATTGGGTATTAAGCAACCAAAACCCACATCCACATGCTTTTGCAGCAAGAGCCTTTACCCCTAAGCCACCTCACCAGACCCTGCATACAACTTAAAATAATTAGGGAAGAAAGTGAGACGTAAAGTAAGGTTATGAGAGAAATTAAAGCATGTTATTAAGCAACATATCTCCCTGTTTTGTTTCTTGACTCTATGTGTGCACATGAGCACATGTGGAGGCCAAAAGTTGTCCTGCTCTATTAATCTCCCTTATTCCTTTATCATGGGGCATCACAGCGAATCTGCGACTACTCTGACGGAAGCAAGCCTCAGAAAACCTCCTGTCCTCACCACCCACGGCACCCATAGGCTTCTGAGACCATATCCAGCTTTTTACATGGATGCTGGGATTCAAATCCAGGTCCTTATGCTTGCACAGCAAATGCTCTTACCTACTGAGCCTACTTAAATACTGAATGGGTGTCTAAGGCATTGAAAAGAAAGCTAGGGGAAGAGGGGGGCAGTTGCACATCCTTTTAATCCAGCACTCAGGAGGCAAACAGAGGCAGACAGCTCTCTTTGAGTTCGGACAGCCTAGTCTACAAAGGAGTCCAGGACAGGTGGCGTTACACACTGAAACCCTGTCTCAAAAAACTAAAAAGAAAGAAAGAAAAGAGTATTGAAAGGAAGGGAAATGAGAAATGTGACTACAAGAGAATAAATAAAAATTAGAAAGATGTGTACATGCTCAGATGATAATATGTACCTTACATGAAGTGGGGACTATTTATTTTTAAGGTAGAACTGGGGGATATAAGGTCTAGGAGGAACCAGAGATTACCTAGTTTAAAGATTTCAAGGGTCCAGACACTTGTCTTTGATATCATGAAGAATAAACCCTTAGCTATGTTAACAGTGACAGTCCAAACATATTTAATGAAACTTTTCACAAGACAAATGAAAATTAAAGCCTTCAAACTCTTAAACTAGTGATAGTATTATAATCTTCTTTAAAGGTATGATCTTACCAAGTTGCTCAATTGGACCTCAAATTTTGATTCTCTGGCCTTAGCATCCCAAGCAGCTGAGATAACAGGACTGGCCAATTTTTAAAAATATTTATTTTATTTTATATGTATGAGTATTTTACCTGCATATTATGTATATACATCATGTGTACCAGAAGAGGGCATCAGATCCCCTGAAGCTGGAGTTACAGATAATTGTGAGCTACCATGTGGGTGCCTAGAATTGAACCCAGGTACTCTGCAAGAACAGCAAATATTCTAAACCACTGAAACATTTCTCCAGCCCCACCATGCTGATTTTTAAATAACATGCTAAAATATTCACAGCCAGGTGGGCAACATCTCTTTGGTATAAAACAAATAAATAAAAACATTCTAACATATATACATGCATATATACACAAACACATATAATCTTGTTTTGTTTTTGAGACAGGGTCTCACTACGTAGCTCTGGATAACCTAGAACTCACTCTAGCCTAGGCTGGTCTCAAACACCTGATTCTCAGGCCTCAAGCCAATTAGATACTGAATTACAGGCATATATTACCACATACAACTCAGCCCAATAGTATTTTTTATTGGTGGTAGGTTTTGTTTTGTTTTGAGATAGACTCTTACTTTGTAAATCAGATTGGCCTTGAACTTGAGGTGATCCTTCTACCTCTGCCTCCCAAGGGCAAGGATTAGAGGCATGAACCACTATGGCCATCTCTAAAAGTTTTCTTGAGGTTAATTTAGACCTTATATCAATCACCTAAGAAAAGAAGAAATCTTTAAGTGTCAGAGCTTGAAACTTACATCATGCTGCCTCCACACAGTACTCACCATGTTCTTCAAGATATGCCTGGAGCCTATTGATAAGATCTTGTTTTATTCCCTTGGTCTCTAAACCACGAGCAAGACATTCTTGCTTTAGTTCAGCAAGCTGAGAAAAAAAAATAAACAAACAACTTTTAAAATTCTTATGAATGAAAAGTTGTGGTTCTCACAAGAGAAGATGACAATAATGATGATGAGATGATGATGGTCAATTCCCAAATGCCAAGCACTATCCCTGACCAAGACTCTGAGTCCACAAAGGTAGTCTACTTTTCCTTTAAACTCATTCAATATGCAATCGGACTTTCTAAAATATCACACTTAATTAAAACTACAATCTATTTGTGCAATTATTTTTTTAATAAGGGGACAGTTCTAAAACGTCAACAACATAATGAAGAGAGGGAAAAAAAAATCAATCTTCAATAAGAAAATCCAGTGTCCTAAAAGCAGAGTCTCCCTACCATCCAGCTATGGTTTGGATAGGGGATAAATGTATCTTCCAGGCCAGAGTTTTTGCGTCAGAAGCTTGGTCTAGTGTAATAGTTCTTAGACTACTAAAAGATAGAGCAGCCTGATACAGTGGCACACAATATTAATCCTACCAGTTGGGAGGTGGAGGCCAGAGGATCAAGGCCAGCAGAAAAACCCATCCCCACTACCCAAAAAAGTAGAGTTACTGGGCGGTATTTAGGTCATCAAAGGAGACATCATCCTAGAAAGGAATTAGTAGAGTTCTTTAGGTTAATTCTTCAAACATCAGGTACATATAAAAGAGTCAGAGTGTCCAGGTACGGGCCTGCAGTCCTGGCACTTGGGAAGTGGAGAAAAGAAGACCAGCAGTTCAACACCAACAAAGGTCAGCCTGAATTCATTATGTGAGACAGGATCCTGAGTGAACTCACTAACCTCCAGCTTTTGGTCCTACCATGTAACCTCTCCTCAAAATTGCTGCCACCATCATGCAACCTACTATATGAGGCTCTTTATCAGGACAACACTATGCTATTGAAACTTGCAATTTCCAAAACTGGGAAATAAATAATCTCTCTCCTTTATAAAGTACACAGCATCATGTATTTTGTCATAATGGTAGAAAATGGATTAATAAACACCTATTATCCCCAAAGTGTCATTACAAAATACCACACACACATCTATAAATCTAATCATTGTAGAATTAGGTTGATGTTTTAGCTGGCTAAATGTTAACAACATCACCACACAAAGAAACCAAATACCCTTCCCAAAGAGTAGTGTTTAGCTTTTTATTTTACTGCTGCTGTGCTGTATATCAAATGCAGAACTTTAAACAGGCTGAGCAAGTTCTCAAACTCTTGAGCTATATATACCCAGCCCTATAAAAAATTTTAAAGCACACAATGGTTTTGATTTCCAGATATGCACAAAACTGGACCACATCAAGTCCTTGTCATGCAAGAGGAGGGGGTCCATGAAGCCCTATCCCTCCCTGAGGATTTCCACAGTTAATGGCCAACATGAGGAGGAGAGGTATTTTCTTCAGTGATGTAACCAATGGTAAGTACCCATGCTTCCATAAAGAAAGTCTCACTGGTGCTCTTACAGATGACCCTACCGTAATTAAACACTTGGGTCATGGAAAAAATAGTCTATTTTATATACTTTTTTATAGTATATACTAATATAGATACTAATACTATATTAGCAGAAGGGGAATTAATTGGGAAGAGGAAGAGGATTAGTGGGAGTCAGAAGAGAGCAAGAAAGGGTAGAGGTATCTAAATATGATCAAAATACTCTACGTACATTTAAAAGATGCCATATGAAACTCATTTTATGTACAATTAACATATGGTAAATAAAAACAGTTAAAAATACCAACATACAAAAGCCTCATGGTAAAAAGACTGGAAATCCTACCTCATCAGGGTTACTTGGCCAGACAGAGCACACCTGAGGAAAGCATGGGATATACAATGTAGGAGCAAGAGGCGCCTCCATAAGTGACCTGTAAGAGGGTCATGCCTCAGGGGACCCAGGGCTTTTGAGCTATCCATTTCTCTAACCCATTCTATTCTCAGGAGTACCTTCCTTTTCTAAACAAACTGTCTCCACTCCATTTCTACTAGACACACACTTTTTAAATCAGTAAAAGTGTGTACTTACCAAATCTCACAGGCTACAGAAGGACTACTGATGGGTAACTGCCATAACTAAGGGAAAAGACACCCACATGGGAGTCTCAGAATCGCCCGCTACAGGGATCTAACAGCCTCTTCTTTCCTGGTTGGGTCTCTCTGATCACCTGCATCCACATTTCATGCCCAAACACAGATATATAGCTTTAAAAAAAAATTGTTTTAAGTTTGCTGTGAGATGATGTCTCCTAGTAAATGTCAGAAGACTGCACTGCAGTCTCAACATGACTACTTAACAAGAGTTGAACAAAGACAACAATGAACACACTAACGTCACCAGAGGGTCAAGTCCAGGTGCCTGAACACCACACAAAGAACTATGGGCAACTAAGGAGTATGGAGGTGGGAAAAAGTCTGCCCCTGCAAAGATCATAACAACTGATTATCAATACCAAATAGTCAGGCCTGAAAACCTACATACAAGTAACATTATACAGACTGAGAAGGTTGTACTCATGTATTTAGGTGTGGGTGAGAGAGAGAGAGAGAGAGAGAGAGAGAGAGATGTAGCTCGGTAGAAGTGACTCCTGCTGTGTCCTGGAATTGATCCGCACCTCTGCATACACAGAGTGAGCAGCAAGTACTAGCAAGGCTGGTAATCCCAGGACTCAGGAGACAGGAGCTGAAAGATCAGAAAAGGTCAAGGTTTTCCCCAGCTAAGTTGTGAGTTTAAGAACAGCCTGAGTTGTATGAGACCCTGTCTCAAAAAACAAAAATAAATAAGTGTATATGTGAAACCTTCTATTTAAAAATCAAACCTTGACTCATGTAAAAACTAGACAAGGGCTGGCTAGATGTTTTAACAAATAAAGACATCACTGCCAAGCCTGATGAAGTGAGTTCCACATGACAGAAGGTGTTCTGACCTCCACAAGTGCTCTCCATTATGCCCATGAACATATAAACATACACACATACAAATTTTTTTAATGAATAAAGATTTGGCTCAACAGTTCTTCAAAATAGAGAACCAGAGGCTAGAGAAACGACTCAGAAATTAAGAGTTTGCTGTTCTTCCAGATGATCTAAATTTGGTTTCTAACACCCATGTCAGGTAGCTCACAACTGTCTGTAACTCCAGAACAGGGAATCCAACAACCTCTTCTGATCTCCACAAGTACCTGCATACATATGGCATACATTCACACAAACATACACATACGCACATAAATAAAAATAAAAATAAAGACCGTCAGATGTGACAGCACATATCTTTAATTCCAACTCAGGAGGCAGATGCAAATGGATCTCTGTGAGCTTGAGGCCAGCCTGGTCTACGAGTTCCAGGCCAGTCAGTGTGACATAGTGAGATGGTTTCAAAAACCAAAACCAAACATACAAACACACAAAAAAACATTCTGTTAGGTCTGGAGAAATGGCTCAGCAGTAAAGAAGACTCACTGCTCTTGCAGGGGACTCAGGTTCAGTTCCCAGCACCCACATGACTCAAAACCATCTGTAACTCCAGGTTCAAAGGATCTACACCCCTCTTCAGGACCCAATGGGCACTACACAAACATGGTGTACATACATGCAGCCAAATCACTCATACACATAAAAATAAATATTAAGAAAAAGCAAAAAGATAAGAATATTACGGTTTTAGGGAAAGATGTTGCCACCAAAATAAGTGCACATTATACATGGCTGAAATTATAGATCTTTGATAGACTATGAAATAGCCTTACTAGGATGGATACATACTCTTTAAAATGTTTGTGTTTGTGTTCACGTTCATGTGTAGACGTGTACACATACCATAATACAATGTGGAGATCAGAGGACAACACTGAATGTTGGTCTCTATCTTGCACCTTACTTGAGGCAAAGTTTCTTATTTACCACTGTACTGCATACTCCAGGCTTACTGGCCTGAGAGCTTACAGGTGATTCCGCTGTCTCTGCCTCCCTTCTCACAGGAATACTAAGATTGCAAACACACAACCGTGTCAGCATTTACATAGGTTTCAAGGATCTGAACTCAGATTGTCAGGCTTGTGTGGCAAGCACTTTTACCAGATGAGCCACCTTTTTTGAGACAAAATCTAACGTAGCCAGGCTGCCCTCAAAATCATTATGTTCTTAAGGGTGACTCTGAATGTTTAAGTATCCTGCCTCTACCTTCCTGGTGTGCACCACCAGAACAGGTTTTATATAATATCTGAGAACAAACCTTTCCACATGCTAGGCAAGCACTTTAGCAATTGAGCTACATCCTCAGCTCTTCTGACTGCTATTTCTTCCGTCCGTCCTTCCTTTTTTTTTTTTTCAGTTTTTTGCGACAGGGTTTCTCTGCATAGCCTTGGCTGTCCTGGGCTCACTTTGTAGACCAGGCTGTTCTCAAATCCACAGAGACTGGCCTGCCTGACTCATGAGTGCTGGAATCCAAAGGCATGTGGCACCACCGATCAGCTTATTTTATTCTATAAAGCGTAACATGTTAATCTATGGAAAATAAACAGGAAAAGAAACACTGTAGAAATCTTCTATGTAGATCAGCACAAAAATACATCTGGTCTGAAAGATGATCTTTCTGGTTTTAAAGTAAAGATCTAAGACCAAAATATCTAAGCTAGAAAGCAGATATTCACAGATGAGAGAACTTTACAACTATGAATCACCTAGATTCTATTTTACCAATAGACTCAGGAGCTGGGGTGAAAACTTGCCAGCCCTGAGAGGCAGAAAAAGCATCCAGCTGACCTTCCTTCTCAGCTTACATGGAAGCCCAAAAGGCTTACTAGCTCAGCTGACAGCCCAGGAAGAAAAGGCAAAAACAAACAAACAAACAAAACCAAGACCAAAGGTTTGCTAGCTCAAAAGCCCAAAAAGCTAGAGAGCTAGAGCTCCTTCTACTTCTCCACAATGTCTTAAAATACCCCTCAACTCAAAGTCCCTCCTACTCTTAAATCCCTGTCAGCTGGTT